AGAAAAGTTCACTTACTTTGAGGTGTGTATGTAGAAGGCTCCTGGATGATGATGATGATGATGGGATTTTGAATGGGGGTGGAGGAGAAGGAAGAAGAGAAGGCATTGGGGTGGAAGAGAAGTCACCCCATGGCACCATTTCACCCATAAAATTTTAGCTCTTGGTGTAATTCAAGATTATTTTCTTTAAATCAACATTGCACTGCATTATATATTGTCAATATGTAAAATATATTTCAAAATGATCAATAATTTGCCTGCAAACACAGAAAAAAGCGTTTAGTTGAAGAGAGTCTCAAGCAAGATGTTACCTCCAGTGAAAACAGAGAGAGACTAACTCCTGTTTGCTGTGTTAAGAGGCTGGATGCCGCGCATTAAACTAGTCACTTTACCTTCAGTTATGTTCAGTAATTGTTAAGATGACTAAAAAATTGAATATTAAACTTTTAAAATTATTGAATAGTATAAACTTCTTGATATTTACTAAAATATTAAGGAATTTAAGCCCTAGAACCGATTTATGTATTGGCGGACTGATATTAAAGCTGGTTGCCTGGTCATTGCAAGTGAAAACATGTTGAGGTCGGTTCATAAGAACTTCGTTAACCGAATTTTTTTTCGTTAACCGAATTGAAGATGCTTATGGAAGGCAGTTCGTTAATCGAAATTACGTTAACCGAGGTGTTGGTTAAACAAGGGGTCACTGTACTGTATACAGTGAACCCTCACTTTACGCGGTTAATTCAACCCACGGCGGCCCGCGTAAAGTGAGAAACACGTAAAGTGAACAATATACCATATGGGATTAATTCAAATAGAGACCGGGCCGACCCCCCAAACTCCACTTTTTCAGACACAATACCTACGTTGTAGTCAAAATAACTTCTTAATTTTATGATGGTATGCACATGCAATTAATAATTAAGAGAAATATCAATAATATTTGGGTTTTTAATACTTACATTTGTAGAAAGGATGGCTGGGCACACGGGGATGGGAGATTGGTTCCGAGGCAGAGGGCCCTCACCTGTATCACTTGTATCAATTGTATCACTATCCACCACAGAGGCTTGCAGGGCCTCTTTGTCAAACCCCTCAAAGTCCATATCCTCACTATCATTATCTTTGGCAGGTAAATTCGGTAATTTTTGATGACTGGCGACCTTGTGCACCACGCTGCTCACGTCTCATAAAAAGTTACACCGTGAAAGTGAGCATTCCGTGTTACAGTGCATAAACTAAGTGAGCCTGTAAGCGAGTTGACTGTGTGTGTATATTATTGTGTGTGTGTATATATATATATATATATATATATATATATATATATATATATATATATATATATATATATATATATATATATATATATATATATATATATATATATATATATTTGTGGTTTAGGTAAAGTGGTGATGAAACTGTAAGCAGCCACTCAGGTCTTACCACTAATTATTTTATACTGAAACTTCGTTTGGCAAGCTGGATTCAAATTAAGATTAGGTATATTAAAATAATAAATATATTATAAATATCATACCGTGAAATTATACCCTGTAATAAACGCTTCATCACACATCCCCTCCTGCCCCCACGCCCCCCACGCTATTGCCAGTGAGGAGACATGAAAGGCAAAGTGACATGATTGGGTATTTTTAGCCGTGGAGGTGGTCAGTAATGCATATCGGTATATTTACTGATAATAATACTTATATCCTATAAATAATTAATTTAAAATTTATTTTTTACAAGGAATATTCAGTAAATGACTGCATTAATTCTTGAAACTACTGACAGTTAAATACAGACACTTAAGTGGCGTCTAGTGTTTACTACACCATGGTTAATGTGTAAGTTGATAAACTCAATAACACACATATGACCTAAACCTGGTCAGCTTTGATGTAACGTCCTCTTTACAAAGGTCCCAGTTGATGATTTACTAGAGTTCCTCATAGATTCCCTGGATAACATTTCACTGCCCGTCTCGAAAGACGACTTCATCGAACTCATCAAACTATGTATTAAGGATTGCAAATTCGAATTCAATGGGGAATATTATGCTCAAAAATTTGGTATGGCAATGGGTAATCCACTCTCACCTGTATTAAGCAACCTATATATGGAATTCTTTGAAAAGAAACTATTAAGTAATATTTTACCACCCTCAGCAGTCTGGTTTAGATATGTTGATGATGTATTATGTCTCTGGCCATGTAATGAGGACCTAAAAGCTTTCCTGCCACAACTTAACAACTTAGCCCCCTCGATCAAATTCACTGTGGAATTAGAGCATGACTGTAAATTGCCATTCCTAGACTGTCTGATACACAGAATAGGTAACACTTTTAAGTTCAGTATTTATAGAAAACCAACTAATGTGTGTTCATACATTCATTATTATTCTGCCCACCATAATAAAGTCAAACAGTCAGTATTTTCAACAATGTTTTTACGTGCCTTGAGAATTTGCAGTCCGGAATTCATCGATGAGGAATACAAATATATATATAATATTGGCTCAAACCTTAAATACCCTAGATCTTTCATAGACAAATGCTTAAACATTACTAAGAAAACTTTTTATAGAACTGATCCCAAGCCCACCCATGACCATAAGAATATCTTAATATTACCATTTCACAAAAATTTCTCACACATTCCTGCACAGCTAAAAACCTGGAACGTCAATGTGGCATTTAAAAACTCATGCACTGTTAAACAAATGTTAATCAAGAACTCCCCCAACAACACAATTGGTTGCATTTATAAAGTTCCTTGCAAGGAATGTAATATGTTTTACTTAGGCCAGACAGGTAAAGATCTTGCAACTAGAATTAAACAACACAAATACAGTGTTAGGACAGGCCAGGAATCCAATGCTCTGTTTGTTCATTTGAGGGATAACAAGCATTGCATTGACTGGGATAATGCCTCCTCAATATTACCATGTAATTCAATTGATAGTAGGAACATCATAGAATCTAGTCTTATTAAACATACCGAAGCATTCAACATGAATTTGAGTAACGGCATGTACAAGCTGGACAATTTTGTAATTAAGAAGATTTGTGATCAGGTGAGAAGGCCGGGTCACTTGACCATCTGACCTGACCACCAACCGTTGTGTGCTATTTAAAGATTAGTAGGGTCATTACCTAATACCTGACCATTGTGGACCTGGTCTCACCCTCCTCTGTATATATACACCTTGATTTGTATTACTCTCTCTAGTCTGTACTCACCCCTGAAGATGTGAATTACACGAAAGCGCTTGGGAACTTCGTGTTTTCTTCTTTCCTTGTGGTTATCAGCATATATATATATATATATATATATATATATATATATATATACACCTAGACCCGACTTACGACGGGGTTAGGGACCCAAATCCAAAGTCCGACATACAATGAAATACAGTACAGTAAAAGTAATGAATAATGATGAATGGATACAGTACAGTGAAAGTAATAAATAATAAGGAATGGATACAGTGTGACTGAGCACTTAACCTTTAATGTAGTCAGCTGAATGCACATGGGGCCCCCATAATTTTCTAATTATACATGGAGACTACATTAACTGGAAACGTTTCGGTATAGAAAATGCGTGTCATTTAAAAAAAATTTTTTTAATAAAATTTTTTTTTTATCTATATCTGAGACGGTCGTAAGTCCACGTAGTCGTAAGTCGGGGTCTAGGTGTATATATATATATATATATATATATATATATATATATATATATATATATATATATATATATATATATATATATATATATATATATATATATATATATATGTGTGTGTGTGTGTGTGTGTGTGTGTGTGTGTGCGTGCGGCGATGCGCGCGTGTTTTTTTTTTTTTTCAAGTAAATGGTAAATGGAAAAATTTTACTCGACACAGACATTAGTTCCAGTTACCGGTAAATAGCAGACGCTTCAGTGACGTCATTAGTGTTTATACTACACCAGCGGGTAACATTTGATGACATTACTTGAAGTGAATTGGCCTTATTTTAAAAAACCAAGGATGGTTGGTAAAGGACTACTGAGTCAGTGGGTAAGTGTCACATTTGGGGTACTGGTCTTATACAGCGAATAGAGCTCAAAAGCCTTATAGGCCGAGATATACGGTATATATATATATATATATATTGGGGTATGCTATAACGAATCTAATTGGTTCTAGAACCTCGTTCGTTATAGGATTAATCCGTTCCAGACCCCCAAATACAACCACTTAACACTGAAAAATTTCTGTGGAAATTGTAAAAAATACCGTACCTTATCTTACCTTAGGGTTGTTCAGCATGCAGGACAGGAGGCAGAGGAGGAAGGGGAAGGAGAGAAGAGGTGGAGAAGAGGTGGAAGGAGAGGAGTCATCCTCCCTAGCCCTCTTTGGTGACTGTCTTACAGGCACTTTGTCTGTTTATTTATAATTTCTTTCTTAGTTTCAAGGGTTATTAGCTTTCTCACTCGCTTTTGACGATTCAGTGTTACAATTGTACACTTTTATAACAAAAGAGTTATAAAAATAACACGAATATCCACATCAAAAGACAAAATTTCAACAAGTTCAGTGGTGCACTGACTACACAATAAACCAATATGGCGCCTGACGCTCTTTATGTGATCCGCGGTACAACAATATTCATGCGCCAGACGAAATAGTCCCGTATTCATCCGCGTTCGTTGTAGGAGTTTCGTTTGTTATAGCATTCTCAATTTTATAGGTAAATAAAACTGTGGAATCACATAAAGTTAACACAGGTACTCCTAAGAAATCAACTTGATCAGAAACTCTGGATACACAAATGAAGCTGCCTCACTCTCCAGTTGAAGCATCAGCTTTTGATGTCTAATATCAATCACTAACAAACAAGTGACATAGGTGGCCTATGGAGGTTGTTACGTACATATTTACAATAAAACTCACCACAATAACTAAATTATGAAAATTAGTAATTAAATAATTGTGTTTGTTGCTTTTCAGGAGTGTACAGTTTAGAAAATTGTTCGTTTGGACAGCTTCTGTACAGCTTTATCTTTGCGCCTAACACTATCTGTGTCAGTCTCTCCCCAATGGCACGACACTTGGTGGTTGGGTTTGCCTCACAGATGCCTCGGCTTGTTGCACACCAAAATCCAAAACAGGCAAGTTGAATCCTTATTGTACTTATAAAATATAATTTACTTAATGGTTATGAGGAATGGAACCCTTTGTAAATCAAGGAATACCTGTACTGGTGTTCCTCTACTTACCCTAAAAAATTTTAACCGAGGCAGCGAGGCTTGTTCCTAAGTCCAACTTTACCCTTGTAAATACCAAACATAATGTAAAAAAAGGAAAAAAATAATGGATGTATTATACAGCTATATCCAGTCATAAATACAGCACATTACAGTATATCTTTGCAGCTTTTAAGAGAATAATAATGTTTAAATAGCTTATTCTAATTTTTTAGGCATCTAACAGTCATTTGGACATGTGGATGTGTTTGTTCTTATCTCTGAAAGTTCGTAAGATGAATCATTATAAGTAAAGGAGCACCTGTATATACATTTATTCAACCTCTTACAGTGGAGTCATGATAATTTGCAGGTTAGGTACCAGACAACATCATAAATTATCAAATTTACACAATACCCCCTAGCAGGAACTGCCTTGTGGTGGGAAGGTTTAGTGGGAAGGGGGGGCTAGTTCCCCCTTCCACCTCAAGGAGAAAAGGGCTTCCCATACTGGAAGGGTCATCAGGGAGGGCTGAAACTAAATGGTTCTCTTGAGCTGCTAACCTTGAGAGCTTGCTGGTAGCATCTTTCCACCAGCCTAGTCTGCCATGGTGTCTGCCATATATGCCGACCCATAAGGTAATAAAGGTAGAGAGAATCAAGAAAAAGGTCGATGGAATTTTAACACCACCCTCTGGTCATCACATTCAATCGATTAACTCTTCCTGAGAACCCGGTGGCAGCTTGGTATTGACTTAAGATTAGGTTTTCAGCCTAATCTTTACTCTATACCAAGCTGCCAAGAAGATGTTTTTATTGCCAGAAGTTTGAACATGTATCCACAAACTATTGCAGAATCAAACAAGGCCTACCTGCTGTATGTGCCTCATGTGGACTTCATGAGTGTACAGGCCCTCCATTGTGGAAAGGGACTTGCATCAACATCTAAGTCCTGTAAAACCTTCCTCTTTCTAAAGGAAGTGCTGACCATACGGGCTAAGAAGCGCATCTCCTTTAAAAAGGTAAAAGAGAGAGTTTCAGCCACTTTTCACACTGGTGCTACATTTGCCAATACTACTATTTAGCTGCCACCAGGAATTGAGTATTATGATCATCTAGCTAGGATACAATGATATGAGTTATTAGGGATGTCACCTAAGTTGGTGAGACTTACGGTGACTATAGAGACCGTTACGGGACCAGCAGAGTCGTTCACAGATGTTGCACATGTGGGGGGGCTACATCTAGTGCCGGAGGGGCAGCAGCAGCATCTTTCCGGCGTTGAAACTTGTCTGCCTTGGATTGCAGTCAGGCTAACTCAAAAGTATTGACACCTTTTGTGGTGCTCCTCCAAGCGTGGAGTAATCGCCTCCCAGGTGAGGGGGGGGTCGATTTGGCACTTTTTCAGGTTTGGCATAAGACTATACTTTTACCTTTTTAGTCCATGTGGGTAACATGGCCAGTCCATCATAGTTGTTCATGGATAATGGTAGCCTCGATGCTCCTACAGTTGGTGTCAGCGAGAATACTGGCATTTGTTCTCTTGTTTTCCCAGCGAACTCGGAGGATGGAACATAGACTACATTGGTGACAGTTTTCAAGTGCCTTGAGGTGCCTCCTGTATGTGACCCATGTCTTGCTGCTGTACAGCAGGGTGGGAAGGACCACTGCTCGATATACGTGCAACTTGTAGATAATTTCAGCTCCCTACAGCTGAAGATATGGGTACAGAGTCTGCCAAAGGCTTGAGATGCACATCTGATCCAATGTTGTATCTCTTCATCAATGTCCGCAGTGGTGGACGGGTGGGAGCCGGGATACTGTAAGTGGGTAACATTAAAGAGGGTAGTAACGTTAAGCTGGATGGATGGTGGAGGTGTGTACCATAAAAACTGGTGCCCCAACCCATTTCCATGTGCAAACAAGAACTCACTGTCCTAGGCCTCTCCTTAAGCTCTGCAGCAGCAGGCATGGATTTTGGGGGGAAAATCTGGGATGATCTTTGTGAGAGTCATCACTTCCCAGTTATCTTCCTCCCTGATGTCTGGGGAGGGCTGACTAGGGTCACTACAGACTCCGAGCTACTCTTTAGATACCCAAGATTCCTACAACTTTGTTTTACCTCAATACCTCACCTCCCCTTTCCTGAGGGTGAAGGTAGTTTTAGACTTAAAAGTTTTTATCTTATAAAATGTCACAGACTTAACTTAGCAGAATATAACTTGCATTGCTTGAATCCTTGCAAGATAGCAAATAATTTGAGTATAGATATTACATATTTTGCAAAATATAAATATTTTAGTCCTTTAGTGTAGTACATTTGAGTACAAAGTGAGTACAGTATTATGTTGCTCAAAATTATGACTTTTTCACAGGAAAAAGTCTGTATAACTAACCCCAATAGTCAGGATAATACAGGAAGTCCTCGCTTAACGTCATGGTTGCGTTATTATAAAATACAACATTAACGGAATCAATTTTCCCCAAAAGATTTAGATAAAATACTCTAGTTACATTCTCCAGCCTTCCTTTGTCCCATAAAATACATTACATATACATAAATTCAATGGATTTTTTATATTTAATACGATAATACGATCATTTTGTATTGTCCTCACTGATGGGCAGAGGTGGAGCGAGTGTGTGGTGGGTATTGTAGAGGAGGAGGGTGGCAAGTTACTGAGACCCGGAGGGGGCTCCCCTTCCCACTCTGTCAGGGGTTCCCCTTGGCTGCTGTTTGCTCCTCCTCCATTGCAGGCTGTTGTAAAGATGTTGTTTCTCCCTCCTGGATAGTACTCACCGTTGTGGGGGTTAGGCCTAATACTACACCAATGTCCACAGCATGTTCACCTTTCTCAGAACGGTTTAAAATCTCCATTTTTGCAGCAAGGCTAATGGTCTTGCATTTCTTCTTCACATCACTCGCATCACTAACACTTGATGAGCGCTTGGGAGCCATTTTGAATGGTTACAGTACTGTATTTATAGCAAAAACACTTAAGCAAGCACGTATGCTGTGGAAGCTTAACAAAGACTGGGGACAAAACACTTGGGGACGCTGTGACGCTCACGAAAGAGCGTAGCGCTCCAAGATGAGAGAGGGTGATGCGCCATACAAAGTAGTGTCCGTTTTGGGTGACTTTATAATGAATCAGTCGGGTCGTAAAACAATGTTGTCGGAATCATGGGTATATTATATATATATATATATATATATATATATATATATATATATATATATATATATATATATATATATATATATATATATATATATATATATATATATATATATATATATATATACACACACATATACATATACATATACAAGCATTATCCTACCCGGGCACAGGTCACTGACCTACTAAGTACCCTGTACTAAAAATTAGTAATCAATAAAAATTCTACAAAAAAAAATTAATAAAATGGTAATAATAATAATAACCATAAATAAATAAAAAAATAAAAAATAAATAAAAAATCAAGAGTAAGAAACGATATACAGTACTGTATGTATGTTGTGTTGCCAAAATAAGAGAATTAATTGAGACCCTGCAATTGTGTGTAAATGAGGCAGAAAGTCAGATCAGCAACCTGGGACTTTGTCATAATTTTTGTGATGCCATATGGCAGCAGGGTCTACCATTAGACAACACATTATGTGTACTGTATTTTTTGGTGTTTTTTTATATCATTATTTACCATTTTTATACATTTAGTACATTCGTTGGAAGATTCGGACAATCAGCTTTTCCAGACAGGTGGTCTCCCCTTGTAGTCCGGATCTTCAAGGGTTCACTGTATTATACCGTATATACTCGTGTATAGTTCGAGTTTTTAAGACCAAATTTTTAGGCAAGAAATTGGGGGTCGTCCTATACATGTGTAATAGTTTTGTTAGGTTGAACCCGTGCATGATGGGAAGGGTGAGGAGCAACTTTTAGCTTCAGACATGAAAAATATTTACCATTTACTGCCAGTAAACAATGGAAATGTAAAATATGTTCCAATTAGTAATGAAAAGTTGTGCAGTTCCTTCAGCAAATGAAGCTCACCAACCTACAATAGGCTAAATTACCTTACAACGTGCTTTCAGTAGTCTATGTTGAAGTTCTTAGCACAGGCTAACTTATCATATCATATATGGTATCACAGTTCTCATTGATCTACAAAAAATACCTGTAATAAAAACCTTTTCGATATTTCACACTTAATATAATACCCGGTAATCTACTTCAACCTCCTATTGTTTACAACGATGCATGACGCATCACGCTCCACCAGCTAGACGGTACACGTGTTTTTCGAATCGTTTTCAGTTAAAGAACTGTTACATCACACGTATATTTTACCTAAACTGCGCCTGATTGAATATATTCTCGGAAATAAATAGTAGTTTTGCTGAAACGTGATGTATTTTAATGTAAAATAGGATAAAATACATAACGAAAACAAAGGATTTTACCTAACCTTCCGATGTTCAAGAGAAGTTACTCGTTTTTTTAATAGTTTTGGTTAAAATATTGTTATATTACATTGGTATTCTATTCATACTGTGCTTGATATAATGCATTCACGGAAATGTAATATTTTTGCTGAAATGACGTACGTATTACAGTGGAAAGTGGGATAAAATTGTGACGAAAACAATGACATTCGCTTTCTTTCGTTCAAAAGATGTTACCGTAATCGCTTTTCGAATGGTTTTCAGTTAAAAAACTGTTATATTACAATAATATTCTATCCTAATTGACTTGAATAAATACTACGATACCATATTTCGGAATATTTTCATTAAATTCCATCAAAATAATTTTCCTTGTCATCGTCTGCAGCACCAAACAGCTTCTCCCAGTCCTCTCCTTGAACAGGGCTAGAGGGTACGTTTTTTTCGAATCGTTTTCAGTTAAAAAACTATTACA